AAATAGAAGAATAAGTCTCCTTTCAAAAAAGGTCATTTTCCCCTTTTATCGTTCTTACCCCACTATTCGGTCTGTGTCAAGGGGCTTTGGTCTTCTGTCAATGGCATCGGATGGAGATGCTTCTGAGATCATTGAGAAGTCATTGACAGGTGCATTTGACTTGCGGTTGATCTCCTTCTGACCTGCAGTTGACCTCCTCTGACCTGCAGTTGACCTGCTCCAAGGGGGTTTTCCCCCTTTTGTTAAGGGGGAGCAAAAGTCCATTGACCAAGGCCTCAAAATGGTTGGCAAAAAAACAGTTGGCAATGGTATTAACCATTTAATGGTCACCATTGGCATCTTGGATGCCTAGATGCATGTAATTTAGGGCCTCATTTCAAAATACATTTCAAAAAATATATATACTGCATGCTGAAATGCGTTTTTATTACAAAATATATGAAAAATATTTAAAACTGCATTTCAAAATATACTTTAAAAATACAAATCGACATTTTTGGAATGCATTTACAAATATATGTGAACATATATGTTAAAATGACTTTTTTATACGTTAAAAAAAAAATCTGCAGAATATATTTTAAAAAAAATATTTTTAAAAATATATATTTTTTAAATATATTCTTCAGATAAAAAAATCACTTTAACATATACTTTTACAAAAATTTGTAAATGCATTCCAAAAATGTAGATTTTTAAAGACATACAGTATATTTGAAATGTATTTTAAAAAAATATTTTTCATATATTTTGTAATAAAAACGCATTTCAACATACAGTATATATATTTATTGAAATATATTTTGATATATATTGAATATGGCCAAAATTGTAGCATTTCAAATATAATTTTTCTTCCATATGGGAAACCACTACACAATGACTATTCAGGGATGCATTGTGGGAAAGTGGGATTTAAAAATGGGTTAGGGACCGATGTGAATGTACAATATATATGTAAAGCGCTGCATAAATTGCGGCGCTATATAAGTACCTGTCATAAATAATAATAAAAATAGCAGAGTGGTATTTTTTTTTGCTGCTAACGCAGCAAAACGCTGCAAAACTGGCGTTTTGAACGCGGCTTTCTACGGCTGATGCTACTGCCGTTTTTATAACGTCCTGTGTGCACGAGGCCTTAAAATTTTCACGGTTGATTTTTCTTATTAAAAAAAAAATTAATTCACGTAAAATCTATTTTGTAAAAACAGAAACCAAACAGTTTTTGCCATCTAAGCACCAATTTGGCAATAAAAAAAAAAAAAACATTTAAAAAAATGTTTCGAAAAAATATTTTTGTCCAACAAAAATGTCAACAAAAATGTCATTAGACAAATGAAGTTAAAGATAACATTCACAAATATCGGTAATATGATAGTATCCCTGAGTATAATAATAATAATAAACAAGATATATTTTTTTTTTCTCCAGTTTTTGTAGACCTTATCTTTGTTTTTGTTTTTTTTTGGAAAGGACGCTAAAACTTTTTGAAAAATAAATTTGCAGATCACAGTCGGGGGTGAGAAGATAGTGTGCTGATAATGGGGAGTTGTTTTCAGGTTTCACAGAAAATAAAAATAGTGTGTAGGCCTAATGGGCTTCTGCTGTCAATCATAGAAGTTCCAAAGTCGCATTTCGACGTGCCTTTTGTAGCACAATATTTGTTAGCTTAATATTTATTATTAAACTGTAATGTTTTTTTTTTTTTGGGGGGGGGGGGGTAAAATGTATACAGAATCACAGCTAGTGTATGAATTAATCACATTTATAGGCAGGATTTTTTTTCTCAGAAAATAGGTGCAGGAACCCCACCTTCCAAGTCACTCCTTGTCTCCGCCCCCCACCCACCTCCAAGCACTGTCCCTTGGTTCCACCCCCTACCCACCTCTGAGCACTGTCCCTTGGTTCCACCCCCTACCCACCTCTGAGCACTGTCCCTTGGTTCCACCCCCTACCCACCGTCTCTTGGTTCCACTCCCGTACCCACTTTTGAGCAATGTCCCTTGGTTCCACCCCCACCCCCTCCGAGCACCCACCTTCCGAGCACCGTCCCTTGGTTCCACTCCCTACCCACCTCTCTGACACTGTCTGACCCACTGTCCCTTGGTTCCACCCCCTACCCACCTCTGAGCACTGTCCCTTGGTTCCACCCCCTACCCACCGTCTCTTGGTTCCACTCCCGTACCCACTTTCGAGCACTGTCCCTTGGTTCCACCCCCTACCCACCTCTGAGCACCGTCCCTTGGTTCCATCCCCTACCCACCTCCAAGCACCATCCCTTGGTTCCACCCCCTACCCACCTGATAGCACTGTCCCTTGGTTCCACCCCCTACCCACCTCCGAGCACCATCCCTTGGTTCCACCCTCTACCCACCTCCGAGCACTATCCCTTGGTTCCACCCCCCACCCACATCCGAGCACCATCCCTTGGTTCCACCCCCCCTACCCACCTCCTAGCACCGTCCCTTGGTTCCATGCCCTACCGACCTCCTAGCACCATCCCTTGGTTCCACCCCCGTACCCCCCTCTGAGCACCGTCCCTTGGTTCCACCCCTACCCACCTCCGAGCACCGTCCCTTGGTTCCACCCCCGTACCCACCTCCGAGCACCGTTCCTTGGTTCCATACATATACATACATACAAGTTACTTAGCACCACAAAATGATACTTGGTTCTTTATACTGTAAATGGGGCAGCAGTGGGAGGTGGGTAGGTGTGGAGCCAAGGGGCGGTGCTTGGAGAAGGAGAGGGGGCGGAGACAATGGGTGACTCAGAAATGGGAGTAGCTATTCTCTGAGAATAAAAGCCCTTGCTAGGGCTAAGCAGACGAGCCAACAAAAATGAGAAGTAGACGTGTGGATTGCTTGCCATACAGATTGCCAAGCTCTGCGCCGACATCTTCCTACTCTCAATATTTGTAGCAGATTGCAACATGAAGCTTGAGTCTTACGTTCATTTTATGGTAGGTGCTCCAACCTTGCAGGGGGAGGAGCTAATAGTTTCACGGAAACCAGTATATATATATACCATAAATCTGATAACACCATTTATATTAAAATACCAGGAATTTTAGGGATCCACCAGCTGGAGGTACTGTGTTCTTCCACCAGTGGAAGGATGTCAACGTTGGGACTAAAAAAAAAATAGCCCTGATCTCTTTTCGGTTCCTATGAGGAAGCTGCTGAATGGCTGCGGGATGATGAGGTCACACGTCTTTTTTTCAACAAAAGTTTGATCTGCAATGAAAAGGAACCGCAAAGTGTTGTAATAGAAGCAAGAAAAAGGTCTAAACCACGGGTGTCACACTGGCGGCCCTCCTGCTGTTGCCAAACAAGTACCACGAGGCATTGCAGGATTGACAGTTACAAGCATGACTCCCAAAGGCAGAGGCATGATGGGATTTGTAGTTTCGCAACAGCTAGAGGGCCTCCAGTTTGACTCCCCCCGTCTAGACTTTTAGGACTTTGATACTGTTATTCCTCAATATTCGTCGGTGTGCACCACTGCTTTCCACAATTTTTGGACAAAGCTTCACAAACCTGCAAATTTCCCATTCAATCGGCATGCCAATAAGGGATTTAACATTGCTAAAGGGTCAGAGTGTACTCAGGTGCAGTACATCTTTCTACCTGTAGAGGGCCTTTTACCATTGCTGCATGGGAAGTGGGGTTTTGTAAAGGATTGGCCCCATAGGGGTTTCGATGGAAACAGGTGTAACAGCGCTACCACCTTCTCAATCCATAGCTCCAGACCCAGCGCTCACACTATGAGACTTCCGATGCCTCCACAGGAGACAATCCACTGGAGGAAAAGTCGTCACCAGGGGTGGACTGACAACTCATGGGGCCCCCGGGCAATAGGGGATCATGGGGCCCCCCAGTGTCTCCAAACCTACACTCAAAAACCACACCCAGAAAAAAGCCTCTGAAAGGTACCAGGAGCATCTCATGGGGCCCCCTACTGACCCTGGGCCCTCGAGCAGTGCCCGAGTGCTTTAATGGTCAGTCTGCCCCTGGTCGTCACCTAGGTGGGGCAATAAAATGCAGTCTTCCTTTATTAATCACATGACTAGGATTCCATCCAATGCTTTGAACAGTGAAGCTGTCCACTTGGGCACAGAATTCTTGGGAGATTTGACAGCCATTTTGGGTGAGGAAACCCTTTAAACAAGGGAACCCGTATCTTTGGCATGCTTTAGATGAGTAGTTGGACAGGTAAAGGAACCCACTTGTAAGGGACAGTACTTAGCATAGGGAGAGCTTCCTGACAAACAGGGAAGGTTCAAAGAATGCTCCCTCAACATTACTGTAGCCCTACCCCCTAAGGAGTTGCTGGAGTTTTGGGTTCCCCTATAGTCCTGCACAGCCAGGCAACAAGCATTTTCCAAAGACTTGCATACTGGAGACACTAAACAGTCCTTAAGTTTGTTTTTTTTTAAGTTTTATTAGGGGTACTTGAACTTGGATTGGGTAAGGGGTGTATGGGATGCCCAAGGGAACTGCAACTTGAGGACAACTTCCTGGCAACTATATACAAGTCTCTATATAGCAAACGCTTCTTAGAGAGCTCTCCAGTCCTTCCTGGTGTACCACCCCAGATCCCAGATGATCAGCTATCTGGAGGAAATCCCTGGGCAAGGGAATCCAAAGCTGCCACTTAAAATGCAACAGTCCCGGGTGTACAGCTAGTCAGGTTTCCCACCAGAATGGCCTCTCCACTTGTCTGGACCAGGGGGTGCAGGATTACTCACTCAGTCCATTCCTTGAGCTAGTTGGGTTGGTGGCTGCCTTCTGCTGGGCTGGCTCTACAGGTGAAGCTGAGTGAGCCTCCTTTCCAGGTCCTCAGCCTGTAGGTAGGCCCCTTCCCATTGGGCCCCCCCCAGGCTCCTGCGTCTCTTCCTCTCACATCTTCCACCCGAGGCTCAGTCCTACTTAAGTGCTGTCCTGACCCCATGCCAACCCTCCCCTCCTGGGGATTGGTCAGAATCCCTAATTAGCTGCTTATAATTGCCTAGAGAGCCTGATGAGCATCTTCTTTGCCCAAGTCTGCTCTCTGCAATTTCTTACCTGGTCCGATAATTCCCCTGGAGGCACCAGATGAGCCGGTTGGTCATTCTCCAGATTGCGCACACTCGGATCGCCACCATGGAAGAGCAGGCGTTGGATTAGGTACTCAGTGGAATGGTTAGGAGGCAATGCAGCAGCCATGTGCAATGCCGTGTTTCCATGAGCCTACAGGAGTAGAAAGGACACACAACGCAGTCAGTTGTGGAAGAGACAGACAGGGTTATGTAAAAGCCAAAGCCATCCCACCGCTAGTCTGACTCACCCTCATGTTGATGAACATGGCCAGGTCAATGTGGGGCATCTGAAAGAAGAATTTCACAAGGGGGAGGTTCCCGGCCTGGATGGATAGATGGAGCACCGTTTTGTTGCTTTTAATTTCCTGTTGAAGAAAGCCATATTTAATTTTTAGCTTCATCAGCACCTGAAAGCTGGACCTCCATAGAGGCCCATTATACTTCCAAAGAGAATTCCAGTTGTTTTGGGATCAATTTCATTTGCTTTTTTACCTTCAATTGAAATTTTGTGTAATTTAAAAACTTTATTAATAAAGGCTTTATTGAAAAAAAATAAAGTCCTGGACTTTCCTATAAAGACACTCAGAAGAGCCTAAATTTTTTGTGGACACATACAGTATGCATATGTAGATTTGACGAAGGCAATCAGTCCTCTCTAGGTTAGATGAGAGGGAGAGGTCTCCTCCAAATCATTCAGCTGCAGGGGCGGATGGACCATTTGGAAACTCGGGCACTGCCCGAGGGCCCGGGGTCAGTAGGGGGCCCCATGAGATGCCCCTGGTACCTTTTTCATAGGCTTTTTTGAGTTTGGGAAGGGACACAGGGGCCCCATGATCCCCTATTGCCCGGGGGCCCCATGAGTTGTTAGTCCGCCCCTGTTCAGCTGTATGTGTTTTCTGAGGAGCAGAAAATTGGTATATATTTTGAGGACAACACACGTCTCTTTGCTCGCCCGTTTACGTTCCTCAACTGCAGAAGATCTCAGTAGTTGGTTGGAGAGCACAGGCAGAATTGCATATCGATGGCAAAAGTGACATATAATATGCTACTTGCAATCTACAGTATGACATCAACAACCAGATTTTTACTGTAGCCCCCTTCCTTTCGCTCACTCATTATTAGTGTAGTGCCTCTCCAGTTAGCCAGGGGGAGCTAGCTAGGTTTTTCAGTCAGAGGCCAAATAGCAGAATGGGCACGGGTCAGCCTGGGTATTAGCCAGCCCGGTCATATGTGGGTGAGGGCTCTGCAGATCAGTTCACTGATACCTCACCCTGCTCTAGAGGGGGGAAGTTTCTCGAAGGCAGTGGGTGTGGGTGAGGAGGGACCAGGGGCGGACTGACCATTTGGAAACTCGGGCACTGCCCGAGGGCCCGGGGTCAGTAGGGGGCCCCATGAGATGCCCCTGGTACCTTTTTCATAGGCTTTTTTGAGTTTGGGCAAGGACACGGGGGCCCCATGATCCCCTATTGCCCGGGGGCCCCATGAGTAGTCAGTCCGCCCCTGGGAGGGACTAATCTGCATGCCTGAGGGACCAATCCTCAAGCAGGAGTCTTGGCATGGGGTCAGGACAGCCCTCAGATATGTTTGAGCCTGAGCAGCAGGAAGTGGTAAGTCTGTGTCGGGTGTAAGATGATGGGAGTAGGGTGGAGTGGGGAGCCTGGGAGGGGGCCCAGTGGAAAGTGGCCTGCCTCCAGGTGGAATCTGGAGAGGAGGAAAGCTGAACCTCACCGACCCCATCTGTAGAGCTAAGGAAGGAGCCAGCCCAGCAGAGGGCCTGAAGGCAGCTACCAATCTATAGCTTGCAGGAGAGAAACAGTGAGTACTTCTTCCCCCCCTGAACCTGAGAGAAGGGAGAGGGTACTTGGGTTGAAAACCTGACTAGCCCTCAGCTGGACTGTACTCTTAAGATCCTTATTGGATCCCTTTGTTCAGGGAAAGCCCTCAGATTTCTGGATAGAGAAAAACTATCTGGGGTTTGGGGTGGTATCATGAGATCCATCAGGATAGGCTGGAGAGATGTCCAAGAAGAGTTTGCTGTGCAAAGAGTTGCCAGGAAGTTGTCCTAAGTTTGCAGTTCTTTGGACATCCCATGCATTGCTCAATCCTATCCAAGTTTTTCATCCCTAATAAAATCCAAAAAAAAGGACCAAGTTCAAGGACTTGTTTACTGTCTCCAGAGAGGACGTCTGTGGAAAATGCATGTTGCCTGTCTGTGCAGGACTATAGGGAGACCCAAATCCTCAGCAATTCCTAAGGGAGTAGTGCTACATTAGGCAAACTGTGGATGGTACCTGACTGGTGAGGTTGGCCCCCATCTGAAGTAGGAGATGGACACACAACATGGTCTCTCTGTCTTGCTGCTGGGCGTTGGGAGTGTTTTGGCTGTTTTTGCTCTTGAAGGCGTTATTCTGAGCTATAACAGCACAATGAAGTGGAGTCAGACCTAGAAGAACAGAAAACATGCAAAGTTATCTCTAGAATTTCATGCGATTCCATGAGGAACACCAGCGAATTTTTTTAGATAGATGGTGAAAGGCTCAGAACCCCCTTTTAGGTTTTTTTGTCGCTGTTTGTGACCCTCTACATCCTGTTCTGATGATTACACAGCAGTAAGCAAGTGAAAGGAGTTGTAACCCTTCCCCAGCCCACCCATACAATGTTATGGTTGGAAGTTCACCTCTTAGCTCATCTCTTTTATAGATACCCTCCTTCACTTTACAAGGAAAATAGAAAAATTGGCTACAGAGCTGGTTTTGTGGAAACGAGCACCTACAGCCCTACAAGTCCTCAGGATTCAAAATACTGCCATCTGTTGCTAAAAACATTGAAAAAGTGATATACTTTACTATGTCTTGTAACTCTTGGATCAAGTATGGCCGGCCAATGGCTATCTAAATTGTAGGAATGAAAACATTGCTCAACTCACCATCGTAATTTCTGGCCTCTACGTCAAGGTTCTTCTGATGTGGAAGAGCCAGGAAGACCTAAAACAAAAATATTGGTGAAGCAGAGGGAATAAAGGGCAAAACATCTTCTCGTTTCTCCCCCATTTGGAATGTGAAGTTGTACTTCCGCATAAACGTGTTACCACAAAAGATGGTTATTACTTTAAACCAAAACTTTTTTTAATGATTTTTTTGGATATACACTCAAAGGCCACTTTAGTAGGTACACCCGTTCAAATGCTTGGTGATGCAAATTGCTAATCTGCCAATCACATGGCAGCAACTCAATGCATTTAGGCATCTACACGTGGTGAAGATGAGTTGCTGAAGTTCAAACCGAGGATCAGAATGGGAAGGAAAGGGATTTAAGTGACTTTGAACATGGCATGGTTGTTGGTGCCAGACGGGCTGGTCTGAGTATTTCAAAACTGCTGATCATCTGGAGAATTTTCACGCACTAGCATCTCCGGGTTTACAGAGAATGGTCCGAAAAAGAGAAAATATCTAGTGAGCGGCAGTTGTGTGCAGGAAAATGTCTTGCTGATGTCAGAGGTCAGAATAGAATGGGCAGACTGGTTGCAGATGATAGAAAGACAACAGTAACTCAAAAACCACTCGTTACAACCAAGGTATGCAGAATACCATCTCTGAATGCATAACATGTCCAACCTTGAAGCAGATGGGCTACAACAGCAGAAGACCACATCGGGTGCCACTCCTGTCAGCTAAGAACAGGAAATGGAGGCTACAATTCACACAGGCTCACCAAAATTGGACAACTGAAGATTGGAAAAATGTTGCCTGGTCTGATTAGTCTGGATTTCAGCTGCGACATTCAGATGGTAGGGTCAGAATTTGGTGTAAACAACATGAAAACAATGGATCCATCCTGCCTTGTATACCGGTTCACTGGTTCAGGCTGGTGGTGTCATGGTGTGGTGGATCCATCCTGCCTTGTATCACGGTTCAGGCTGGTGGTGGTGGTGTCATGGTGTGGGGATCCATCCGCCTTGTATCACTGGTTCAGGCTGAAGGTGGTGGTGTCATGGTGTGGTGCATCCATCCTGCCTTGTATCACCGATTCAGGCTGGTGGTGGTGGTGTCATGGTGAGGTGGATCCATCCTGCCTTGTATCACCGGTTCAGGCTGGTGGTGGTGGCGTCATGGGTGAGGTGGATTCATTGTGCCTTGTATCAACGGTTCAGGCTGGTGGTGGTGGTGTCATGGTGTGGTGGATCCATCCTGCCTTGTATCACTGGTTCAGGCTGGTGGTGGTGGTGTCATGGTGTGGTGGATCCATCCTGCCTTGTATCACCGGTTCAGGCTGGTGGTGGTGGCGTCATGGTGAGGTGGATTCATTGTGCCTTGTATCAACGGTTCAGGCGTCATGGTGTGGTGGATCCATCCTGCCTTGTATCACTGGTTCAGGCTGGTGGTGGTGTCATAGTGTGGTGGATCCATCCTGCCTTGTATCACCGGTTCAGGCTGGTGGTGGTGGTGTCATGGTGAGGTGGATTCATCCATCAACTGCCATCCTGCCTTGTATCAATGGTTCAGGCTGGTGGTGGTGTCATGTGTGGTGGATCCATCCTGCCTTGTATCAATGGTTCAGGCTGGTGGTGGTGGTGTCATAGTGTGAGGGATTTTTCTTGGCACTAGCAAGGTGTACCTAATAAAGTGGCTGGTGAGTGCACTTAGGAAGAGTATATAGCCCTGTGAAGATGGTATTGTTGTCCATAACCCCAGTGGGAGATATTTTATCTCACTTCTTGTCTATGTGAAAGTTTGTGATGTAAAACAGAAATGAGGGAAGTGGTGGTCATCAGGACAGGAAAGCACAGACAGTCAAAATCAGAGGTTCTGAGGTTCTAACTGTAGCCGGACCATCTTGTTATTAAGGGCCTCGCTTTCCCTGTTTTTAGGACTAAGCTCCTACCACACAGCATTCACCTGCCCAATGATAGCACCCACAATAGGCTCCCATGGCACTCTTATCGAACTGATGGGAGACATAAGGGTGTGGATTAGTTCCAAGGTCAGGGAAGCAAGGCCAAATCATTTTCAAGGCGTATCATCTGCACCAATCTCTATGAGTGTTTAGGATGTGGGAAAGGAACTTCTAGAAGTGGTGGTTTATGGCCCAGTTACAGGTTTATACTGAAAACCACAAGTCATCAAGACCCCCAGCTTTACTAGTGCAGTTCCAGAGAATTAATGATAATACACCCAATCTTCTACATGCAGGACATTAGGAAGGCCCAAGTGAACCTCAACTCAACATCAAGGTAACAACTCGTGTTCCCCATCATCTGGAGGAGTTTAAATGCTTGAGAAAATAGGTAGATTTGAAGGACTTTATTTGACCTTCACCTTGAAGTTAGTGGTCAATGATCACCACATATTGTCACATTTGTGTAGAATTTACAATATTTCTACAGAAAATCTCCTTTGAACTTACTCTGAGGACATCAGACAAGCCATAGGTTCCAGCAACGTGTAGGGCTGTCTGCCCTTTGCAGTCTGCAGCACTGACATCAGCACCTAGAGTGATCAGGTCATAGACGATCTCAGGCTGGTTGGCTGTGACGGCCACCAGGAGTGGAGTCTGGATAAAGGAAAGATGGAAAACGTCACATGATAATTGACCGATACATTTAGTTCACATCATTAGCATTTCTTATAACTAGCTTTTTGAGTTGTCCATGGCACTTCCTGACATCAAGACATAAGGGGGGATTTACTAAAACTGGAGTGAGCACAATCTGCTGCAGCTGTGCATGGCGGCCAATCAGCTTCTAACTTCCAATAGAAAGCACAAGGAGGTAAGTGAGCGCTAAAATGGCTAGCTGCTGAAACACCAAAAAGGTACCAAAAAAGCCTTCCAAAGTATCAATATAAATATGGGTAGCGCTAAATATAAATTACACACAATAAATAATTTCAAAAGTGTCAAATGCAATAACCAATAAATAAATATCACAGTATCCGGATGAATATAAAGTGACTGGTGGTGTGTAACAAGGTGGTATTATATACAATAAAACCATAAAGTGATTAAGTGATAACCCCCTATGATTATGTGCAACAGCACGAAACGCGTCAGGGAGGAGCTGCAACGTCGTGACGTCAAGCCGCCAGGACCGCGTGGGTCCCGGCGGCCATCTTGGATTCTCACACATGGTCAGCGAATTCTGTTCTCTGTATTTTTCACTTTATGGAATAAATGCTTCCTAAATAAGCAGTATCACACTATTGGCCTCCTTTTTTGGGCTCTTTGTGAGCTATAACAACCCACAGAGCTGTACAAGGAGGAATTGCTGACAGCAGAGGAAGCAGTGAGGGAACACCAGACCTATCCTTAAAGGGACCTCCAGCTGACCTACTGAGAGATATATCTCTAAAAATGCATGATTTGAATGCGCATCTGGTGAGTGCGCATTTCTTACATTACCGGGCACCATCACCATACCGTTGGATAGATGTTATTGATCACCAGCATTTGAAGATCATCATTGGATCTTCCATACATCACCTTTATGGACATATATCTAATAATATAGGCACTTTCAGCTTCCAACTTTAGCTTGTTCAGTTAGCTTTGACAATAAAACCTGGAAGCTGATTGGTTTCTATGCAGAGCTGTATCAGTTTTTACACTTTCCAGTTTTAATTAATATCCCCATAATGTGCCGAAAGTCTCTAACTGTCCAAAGAAGACCGGCCCATGCTTGAGTTAAACCCCACCCACTGATCTTTTGTGGTCACCTCGATTGGACATCAGTATGAGGGAGTGCAGTTAGCATCTATGCTTAACGACAATTAGCTCATCTTCCAACATGCCTAATCCTTGTGTGATAATGAGCCCCTCAGACTGCCTCATTGTCACACCACAAAAGTCCAATCGCTTTTGTTCGGAAGGGTGGAGAAACCAAATCTACCCAAAGAGATGGGTTTGGCTGCTCACACGAAAAAAATTTCCCTTCCAGTGGGAATGTTCAAAGCATAAAACTTACAACAGACAAGGGTCCCGAACCAAATGATGGAGTCCAAACGGCTTCATCATCAAAAAAAAAAGCCAACCTGTTTCTGTGGCTCTCAAAACACCCCCCCCCCCCCCCCCCCTTCATCAGGGCTCAGAGAGCTTTATACTCATACTGATATATTCAGCTCAATTGATTCCGGCAAACAAAAGATTTATCTGATTATCTATATTACTAAAGAATAAAAGGGCGTTCCTGGGTATTTTCAGACCTTCACATAATTATTGGATGTTTACCTTCCCATTATGTTCCTTCACGTCCAGCTGGCCATAATGCAGGTAGCGCTCAGCCGCAGCATAAGCCTGGCTCCGCAGGCCTCTCGCAGCATAGAGGTGCAGGATTCTGTTGGCAAGAAAAGATCGATGCAATCAGTAAGAGATGATAAATAGGTGCAGGAACTCTCCCTTTCCAAGTCACGCCTCATCTCCGCCCCCTACCCACCTCCGAGCACCGTACCTTGTCTCCACCCCCTACCCACCTCCGAGCACCGTACCTTGTCTCCACCCCTACCCACCTCCGAGCACCGTACCTTGTCTCCACCCCCTACCCACCTCCAAGCACCGTACCTTGTCTCCACCCCCTACCCACCTCCGAGCACCGTACCTTGTCTCCACCCCCTACCCACCTCCGAGCACCGTACCTTGTCTCCACCCCTACCCACCTCCGAGCACCGTACCTTGTCTCACCCCCTACCCACCTCCGAGCACCGTACCTTGTCTCCACCCCCTACCCACCTCCGAGCACCGTACCTTGTCTCCACTCCCTACCCACCTCCAAGCACCTACCTTGTCTCCACCCCCTACCCACCTCCGAGCACCGTCCCTTGTCTCCACCCCCTACCCACCTCCGAGCACCGTCCCTTGTCTCCACCCCCTACCCACCTCCGAGCACTGTCCCTTGTCTCGACCCCTACCCACCTCCGAGCACCGTCCCTTGTCTCCACCCCCTACACCTCCTCTAAGCACCGTCCCTCGTCTCTGACCACCTACCCACCTCCAAGCACCGTCCCTCGTCTCCACCACCTACCTACCTCTGAGCACCGTCCCTCGTCTCCAACCCCTACCCACCTCCGACCACCATCCCTTGTCTCCGCCCCCTACACACCTCCAAGCACCGTCCCTTTTCTCAACCCCCTACCCACCTCCGAACACGGTCCCTTGGTTCCATTCCCTACCCACCATTACAAAGTAATTTGTATAGAATTTGTTAATGATAAAATAGATCCCCTGCAGCCAGCAACAATAGACCTCCAGCAACAACAGGTCCCCCCTACAACAATAGATCCCCCCAGCAATAATAGATTCCCCCAGCAACCAGCAACAATAGATTACCCCCAGCAACAATAGATTACCCGCAACACAATGCCCCATAGCAACAATAGACCCCAAGCAGCAACAATAGATCTCCCCTCAGCCAGCATCAATAGACCATCCAGCAACCATCAACAATATACCCCTCTGGCAACAGTAGTTCCCTCCCATCAGCAATTGACCCCCCTAACAACAAAAATACCCCAACAGCAACAACAGACCTTCCCAGCATTAATAAACCCCCCCAAGCAACAATAGACCACATGCAACAAAATACTCCATTGCAACAATAGACCCCAAGCAGCAACAATAGATCTTCCCTCAGCCAGCATCAATAGACCATCCAGCAGTCATCAACAATATACCACTCTTTCAACAATAGTTCCTTCCCATCAGCAGTTGACCCCCCCAGCAACAATAAAAATCCCCCACCAGGGGCGGACTGACCATTCGAGCACTCGGGCACTGCCCGAGGGCCGGGATCAGTAGGGGGCCCCATGAAATGCCCCTGGTACCTTTTATAGGCTTTTTTTTTTTAGTTTGGGGAAGGACATAGGGGGCCCATGATCCCCTATTGCCCAGGGGCCCCATGAGTTGTCAGTCCGCCCCTGTTCCCCACCATCAACAACAGACCTTCCTAGCAATAATAAAATCCTCCGAGCAACAATACTTTACCCCCAGCAAAAATAGACCACCTGCAACAAAATACCCCATAGTAACAATAGACCCCAAGCAGCAACAATGGATCCCCCCTCAGCCAGCATCAATAGGCCGTCCAGCAGTCATCGAAAATATACCCCTCTCTCAACAATAGTTACCTCCCCATCAGCAATTGACCCCCCCAGCAACAATAAATCCCCCACCAGCAACAACAGACCTTCCCAGCCATACAATAGATACCCTGCAAAAATAGATCCCCTCCAGCAAACATTAATCCCCAGATGCCAGTATCAATAGACTCCCCAGCAGGGGTGGACTGACCATTCGAGCACTTGGGCACTGCCCGAGGGGCCCGGGGTCAGTAGGGGGCCCCATAAAATGCCCCTGGTACCTTTTATAGGCTTTTTTGGGGTGTGTTTTGAGTGTGGGCGAGGGACACATAGGCCCCATGATCCCCAATTGCCCGGGGGCCCATGAGTTGTCAGTTCGCCCCTGCTCCCCAGCACAACCCAGCATCCCTTCCCATTACATACATTTGGTGCTGGGGTTGCGTTCCTCCGGGTTCCCGCTGAAAAAAAAGCCCTGCTTTTACGATAGATACACAGAGCTTTTAATGGGGCAGTGCAAAGTGCCACATGAAGACATAGAGAACAAGCTTTCTCTATGACTATAACGGGGGTCAGATTTCCATCGCTGGACCCCGAGGGGCAGGCAGAAGAGGTGGTCACCTTGGGAAATTCAGCATGAGTGGGACACAAAAGGGGCAGGATGTGGTGGGGTGGGATGGGTGGTGGTTCACCCTTTGGCTTTTTTAGCTTGGGTGCTTAAAGCCCCTGTCCTGACACTGCTGACGCCTGCAGGAACTGCTTTCTACACCTACAATATTCAATGGTTGAGTCAGGCCATGTGAGCACTCACGTGTCTCCATCTCCATCCTGTTGCAGAAGCTGGTCGGGGCTGAGGTTCTGGAGCTGAAGTCTGGCTTCCTCCAAGTCTTGCGGCATTAGTTCTGAAACCACACAGCCTGGTACCCTCGAGTAGGTGTCTGCTGCCGCAACTGGACATGGGACCGGTGCCAGCCAGGAGGGATCATGGGCAAAAGTGGACAAATAGGAAGCGTGGGCAGCAGAAACAGTCTGAGGGAAAAGAAAAAAAAAACAACGATTTTTATTAAATTTTAACAGCAGAAAGCAGCCACAGCCTGAGCAGAGAAGCCTGTCCCCTGCCAACATGCTGCGAGGGAAGAGTCCTTGCTCTTTGTGTGGAAGCGGGGGATCTTTCTGCAGAGTTCCAATGCCATCTGCTGACTCAGACCTACAGCTTTGCAATCAGCAAATCCCTGATGATTGGAGGCTCGGCAATCATCATTTAAAAAAAAAAAGCATTTAGTATTTCCTCGGGTTATCTTTGTGTAATATTAAAATTAGTTGGATGATCTGAATCATTTATGTGTGACAAATGTGGAAAAGATAAAAAAATCAGGAAGGGGCAAACACTTTTTCACAGCACTGTATGTTTACTGTATACAGCAGCTAAGTGGTCAGCACTTCCACCTGGCAGTACTCGGGTTGTTGGTTCGAATCCCAGCCACGGCACCACCTGCCTGGAGTTTGCATGTTCTCCCTGTGTCTCCGTGGGTTTCCTCTGGGTACTCCAGTTTCCTCCAAAACTCCAAAGACAGGTGAATTGGCTGCTGTCCAAATTGGCCCTAGTATGTGTATGTATGAATGTGAGTTTTGGGGTCCATAGAAGGGTCGAAAATCAGCCGATCTTTTGGCCGAAAAAAAAAAAAAATCGGCCCGATTTTCGCACCGTTAATGGGTTAATTGGTCAGCCGTTTTTTGGGCTTTTTGCACATTTTTTTTATCGGCATGTTGGAAAATTTGCGGCTGATTTTGATGATCGGACGATTTTCCCGGCAATGATGGGCAAATCGGCCGATTGTTTTACCGATAAAAATATCTGCGCATGAGCCATGACCTGGAAGAAGAAGAAGAGGAAAAAGAAGTAGAAGAGCAAAAAGAAGAAGAAGAAGTAAAAAAGAAGAAGAAAAAGAAGAAAAAAAGAAGCTGAAAAAGAAGAACAAAAAAAAAAGAAGTAAAAGTAAAAGAAGAAGAAGAAGAAAAAAGAAGAGGAAAAAAAAAAGAAGAAAAAAGAAGAAGAAGAAGAAAAAAAGAAAAAGAAGAAGAAAAAGAAGCAGAAGAAAAAGAAGCTGAAGAAAAAAAGAAGAAAAAAAGAAAAAAGAAGAAGAAAATAAGAGAAAGAAGAAAGAAGAAGAAGAAAAAAAAGAAGAAGAAAAAAGAAGAAGAAGAGGAAAAAAGAAGAAGAGGAAAAAAAGAAGAAAGAAGAAAGAAAAAAAAAAAGAAAAAAAAGAAGACGAAAATAAGAAGAAAAAGAAGAGAAAAAAAGAAAAAGAAGAAGAGGAAAAAAGAAGAAGAAGAAGAAGGAGAAAAAAAGAAGATAAAAAAAGAAGAAGAAGAAGAAAAAGAAGAATAAGAAGAAAAAAGAAAAAAAAAAGAAGTAGAAGAAGAAGGAGAAAAAAGAAGAGGAAAAAGAAGAAGAAAGAAGGAGAATAAAGAAGAGGAAAAAAAGAAGAAAAAAAGAAGAAAGAAGAGGAAAAAAAAGAAGAAGAAGAAGAAGAAAAAGAAGAAGAAAAAGAGGAAGAAAATGAAAAAGAAGAAAAAGAAGAAGAAAAAGAAGAAGAATTCCAGTCCGCTATTATATTTTACATGAAAGTCTCGCGGTTGCAACAATGTATCCATTTGTATCTGAATAAAAACATCTGTATTCCAAATGGATACAAATGGATACATTGTTGCAACCGCAAGACTTTCATGTAAAAATATAATAGCGGAGCTCTCTGCAGGGACAGAAGTAATTAAATGCCGGCCGTAGACGGGACACAAAATCGGCCAATCTTTTTACCATTTGGTGGTAATGTCGGCAAATCAAACGACCGATTTTTCGTTTTTTTTTTTTTTTTTTTTTTAAACGGCCAGTTTTCAACCCGTCTATGGCCTACTTTAGGGACCTAAGATTGGACGCCCCCTTGAGAGTTAAGGACTGATGTGAATGTACAATATATATGTAAAGTGCTGTGTAAATTGATGGTGCTATGTACAGTAAGTACCTGTAATAGATAAATAAATAAATACTGCTTTGATGAATCCATCATCCTGGTTGCTGCAGGTTAGTGAACCTCGCACATCGCCCTGCTGGCTCATGTCCAGGGGCGGACTGACCATTTGGAAAAACTCGGGCACCGCCCGAGGGCCCGGGGTCAGTAGGGGGCCCCATGAGATGCCCCTGGTAACTTTTTCATAGGCTTTTTTGAGTTTGGGCAAGGACACAGGGGCCCCATGATCCCCTATTGCCCGGGGGCCCCATGAGTTGTCAGTCCGCCCCTTCTCATGTCTCACCCCTATGTCTGGCTCCAGAGCTTGAGCTTCAGTCCTCCTGATCTCATCCCATCTGCCATCATGGCTGTACATTGCACCGGGTCCATACAGGTCCTCCATTGGGGGTAAGTATAGTGAGCGGTTGGTCTTTGGAAGACATGGGACTCATCTTCCTGCTGGACGGGGCTTTGGTGAAGAAATGGAGATGTACTAACAGCACCTAGGAATAGGACAAAGCATCTGTCTGTAGACCTTAACCAACAGTGAGAATTATCAGAAAGGAAGATAATTATAGGAACCCATCTGGGGCCTTACCTGAATCCTGATTATACTCAACCAGGGCAGCAGGGATCTTTAAAAAAAAAAAAGACAAATTATAGATCGTCAATGCACTGGAGACAGCGGGACATTAGAACACGACATGAAATGAATAAACTTCACGATTTTTTTTTTTGCTTTCGAAATACAAATAGCAGGTGTGAGCTCAATGGACAATGGACAGCTGCAGCAAAACAATGTTCCTTCATTGCTTCTTCAAATGATGGTTTTGGTTGTGCATCTGCAAGTTTCGTATACTTTCTAATGCCAGGATTATATATATATATATAACAGAATCCAATAGCTCCCCTCCCTTCCCTGCACTTCATACCATTAGGACTTACTTGGTTGGTGTCTGTTGTGCTGTTGGCGCTTCTGTTCCAGCAGTTTCTTCACCGTCTGTGTCTGCGAAGGCGAACAGAATGACTGCAGTCTGAGGGATAACCAGCAGGGGGCAGTAATGTCAGAGATGGAAATGTATTACATAGAAGAAACAAAATCTAACAGTGTTATCATATGACAGGCCAAAAAAACAGAAAAACCATCATCACAACTTCACACTTCATGTATAGGGGCAATGGGGGGCGCTTCTAATGACAGAATAATGTTCTTAATGGGAGGGGAGAGGGGAGAGGAAGACTAGTTTATAGAAACGAATGTTTTGTATGACTTTGTAATCATTGCTTTGGAATGCCTTCTGTGTGCACTCCAAGGCGTGCTAAGAGAACATTATTTAACGTATTAAACCCAAAAGCTAAGAAAAACATTTATTCTTATTGCAGCTGATCAATTTTTTCTTTAGCACCTTTCCCTTTCTTTCTTTTTTTCCTTTTCTTTCCTTTTCCTTTCCTTTCCATTTCTCCTTTCCTTTCCTTTTGTTTTTCTCCTTTTCCTTTTCCTTTCCTTTCCTTTTCCATTCTTTTTCTCCTTTCCTTTTCCTTTCCTTTCCTTTTCCATTCTTTTTCTCTTTTCCTTTCCTTTTCTTCTTTCATTTTCCTTCCTTTAATTTTCCTTTTCCTTTCATTCTTTCCTTTCCATCATTTTCCTTTCCTTTCCTTTTTCTTATGCTTTTCCTTTTCCTTTCCTTTCCATTCTTTTCCTTCCTTCCTTTCCTTTTTCCTTCCTTTCCTTTTCATTCTTTTTTCTCCGTTTTCCTCCCTTTTCTTCTTTCTATTTTCCTTGTCCTTTACCCCTTTTTTTCCTCATTTTCCTTCTTTTTCTTTTCTTTTCTTTTTCTTTATTTACTCTTCCTTTTCCTTTCCAAATTCTTTTCTCCTTTCCACTTTCATACCTTTTCACCTTTTTACTCCTCTCCCTTATCTTTTTCCATTTTTTCCTTTTTATTTTTTTTTCCTTTTTCCCTCTTCCATTAATTTACTTTTCCCACCCGAACCTCTTACCCTTTCTTTACCCTTTTTCTTTTTTTTTCTGCCCAATTTTTAAGGTCCAAAGAGAATCACAGAATTCTCACAAAATACACTGTTTTCCAAGTTCTTATTTTTGCTTCCTTGGTTTCTTTTTAGGCCATTTCTTTTTTCTGAAGTTTTTTTTCTTCTTTTTTTTTCCTTAGCCTTCCCTTTTTTTTTCCCCTTCCTTCCCTTTCTTTTTTTCTCTCCTTTTTTACCATCTCCATTTCTTTTTCCTCTTTTTTTCTTTCTTTCCTTTTTTTCCTTCCTTCCCTTTCATTCCTTTTTTCCCCTTCTTTTCCCCCTCTTCCCTTTTCTTTCTTCCTTCTTTCATTTTTCTATTTTTTTCTTTTCACTCCTTCTATTCCTTCCCTTTCTTCACTTATTCCCTTTTCCTTTTCCCCTTTTTTCCCGTTTTTTTCTTCCCCTTCCATTCTTTTTTTTTTTTTTTTTTCCTTTCAATTTTCTTTCCCCAATCTCCGATCTTCCCTACTTCTTCCCTTTCTCTTCCCTTCTTTCCTTCTTTAGAAATTCCACTTCCTTTTTTAATTTTATCCTGCCCTTTCCCTTCTTTTATTCCCTTTTTCACGCTTGTTTTTTTTTCTCCTTTTCCCTTTGTTTCCCCTTCCCTTCCTTCCCCTTTGTCCCCTTCCTTTCCTTTCCTTTTTTACCCTCTTTTCCAGACATTTTAGGAATCTTTCAATTTTTGATTTTTCTGTACAAATAACTTTTTTTTGCTTTCATTTTTTTTTTCCATTAGGGGACTTCCCCTTTTAATCAATTTTTTTTTAGTTTTTAAAAAACCAAATCAAGTCTTTTTCCAGTAAATTTTTTTTTTTTTCAACAAGTTTTTTTTTTAAAACAAAAAATTTACATGCAAATTTTTGTTTTTTTTTTTTTACGCCGCGGGGCGCAGGTCGATTTTTTTTACTTTTTCTTTTTTTTTTTTTTTTATTTTTTTTCGTTTTATACAATATTACTCACCCCGTTTGTCAGGTTTTTTTGCCCAACCAGGGGGGGGGGGGGGGGGAGGGGAGGAGAGGAGGGGGCGCGCGTTTGGGAAACGCACATTATTATATTCACAGCTTTTTTTTGAATAGTTTCAGAAAAAAAAATCTTTTGAGCATTATTTTCCTTTTCAAATTATTCCATCTTCTTTTCTTTTTATTTTTTATTACTTTTTTTTTTTTTTTATTTTTTTTTTACATCTTTTTTTTTTTTTTTTTTTGTTTAAAATTTTTCAAACAATTTTCATTTTTTTATCTTTTTTTTTTTTTTTTTTCTGTTTTTTTCTTTTTTTTTTTTTTTTTTTTTTTTTTTTCTTCTTTTCTTTTTTTTTCTTTTTTCTGTGCTTTTTGACAGACCTCAGCTTCTTTCTTTTTATTTGTTTTTTTTTTTTTTTTTACATCTTTTTCTTTTATTTTTTTTTCTTTTTTTTGAGCTTTTCTTTTTCTTTCTTCCCAAAGGCAAATTTTTTCTTTTTTTTCTTTTTTTTTTTTTGAATGCTCTTTTTTTTAAGAAGCTGATTGGCTTTTTTCTTTTTAAAGCCGGACTTTGATTTTTGAGTGCTTTTTTTATTTTTTAAATCTCTTCTAATTTTCATTTTTTTCTTTATTCCTTTTTCTGCTATAACTTCTTTTTTTTTTTCTTTTACCATAGAGGAAAATGTTTTTTTTTTTCTCTCAGATTTTTTTTTTATTTTTCATTTTTTTCTATTTGCTGTGAAAACTGAAGGGGGGCGCGTCTCTTTTATTTTTTTTTCTTAGAGCTCTTTTCACTGAGCTTGCATTTTTGAAACTTTAAATTTTCCCCTTTTTCTCTAAGTGGCGAGACTTTTTTTTTTTTTATTTTTTTTTTTTTTTTTTTTTCTCTTTTTTTTTTCTGTTAATTTTTTCTTCCTTCTTATTTTCCTCACTTTTTTTTCCGATTTACCTTTTTTTTTCCGGCTTTTCTTTTTTTTTTTTTTTTTCTATCTTTTTTCTTTATTTATCTTGGACTTACAATCATGGGGCCCCAGGCAATATTATTTCTATTTTTCTCTTTTTTTTTTTCCTTCCACCCCCCCTTTTTTTTAAACCACAATTTTTAAAAAAATATTTTATTTATGTTTTTTCTTACCATAGGGGCTTCATCATTTTTTTTACTGATTCCGGGCCTTTTCATTGCTTTCTTTTACCCTTTTTTTAATTGGTTTATTTCCACTATATTTTTTTATCTTTGTGCCTCTTTTATTTTTATATTTTTCTTTTATTTATTTTTCCTCCGCAATCTTTTTTTTTTTTATAATCTTGGGGTTTTTTAATGGATCGGATTTATATTTTTTCTGCTCATATTGCAGATCCTTATTTTCGCGGGGATATTTTTTTGTTTGTAACCAAAATTGTTTTTTTTTATCTTTTGATCATCAATAAACCCTAGGGACGCCTATGCTTTTTTTCTCCTCCTTTTTTCTTTTGATTTTTTTTATTATTTAGCTTTATAAATTCTTGACACTTTTTTATTTTTTTATAGAGGAGAGAGACTTCCACCCAATTTTTTATATTTTACAACTTAAGTTTTAAAAATTTAAAATGTTTATACTATTTTTTTGAATTTTTTTTTCACTGGGTTTATCTTTTTTTCTTTTTTTTTTAAATTCTGCAGTGAGTGAAAAAAATTTTTTTTTTTTTTTTTTTCATTTTTCTTTCTGCTATTTCAATAATGCACAGAAACGCACATAATTTTATATCTTTTCAAACAATTATCACTTGCAAATTTTTTTATTGCAAACATAGGAGGCCCAAACAGAAGAAAATTATTATACTTTTTTTTTCTATTTTTAAATTCAATAAAAAGAAAAAATTTTTTTTTTTTTCAAATTTATCATCAAAAAAAATGCCTTTTTAATTTCATGTTTTTAACAGCTAAAATACGCAGCAGTTTTTTATTTTTTTAATTTTCTTCTTGATTGAGAATTATCTTCTTTTTAAAAATTGCAATTCTTTTCCTGCTATATTTTCTTTTCACTTTTATTTTTCTTTTTGCTTTTTATGCGCTATTTTCGTATCATTTTTTTTTGTTCTCAGCTTTCTTCTTTTTATTTTTTCAAAACAATCTCCCAAATTTTATTTTTCCGACCAAAGGAGAAGGAGCATTCTATTTTTTTATTTTTTTATTAAACATCTTTTTCTTTTTTAATTTTTTGACGTGAATTTTTTTTTTTTTTTTTTTTTTACTTTTTTTTTATGGGGCCCCCTTATTTATAGGGGATCTTTTTTCT